CCCCAAAACCCCAAAACCCCAAAACCCCAAAACCCCATAATCAAAAATCCATATTGTCTCTAAATCTTAACTTTGCCCAATATTTTAACTTTAATCAAGAATAGGTCTGATTTTGGCTTGGGCCATTTTCTTGTTGAGCGAGGCAGGGGAAGGAGATGTGGTAATGATTGAAGGACTTGTGTTGGTAGGGAATTTTATCAAGTGGATGTCTGATGTTGCGATGATGTTGCTGGAGTCGAAGCGGATTGGGGATATCTAGGAGTGAGAGGGAGGGTACCTTAGGAGGGATTATTTGGGGGATGGTTGAGGTTGGTGGTTTGTTTTTGTGGCAAAGTTTGTAGCAGAGTTGGGTAATCCCGATGGCTATGGGTGAGAGAGGAGGGTACCTGATATGATGAAAGAGATTAAGAGGTTGTTTAGAATGAGAAGGTAGACATAGAATCTGGTTGCCATTGAAGTCCATGCTTGCTTTGTGTTGTATTTCATCAAGTATGCCACTATCAACACAAAGAATATTTCATTGAGTCACTCAATTAAATTGTTCATATTCTCTTTGAATGGCCTTACAAAGATTATAAATATAGTGTATAATATCTGCGCCAGCAGCATTCCAGGCACCAAGTAATAATAACCAGTAAATGAGAATATGATCAGCCATGTGCAGAATACAAGTCTTCTTAATAGCAGAAGAGTTGTGAACACTCTGGCAGCTTTTGAGTCTTTGAGTCCAGCAGTAAACTCTTTCGATTTTGAATGCTGCTTAGGTTCAATGTCAAGATTAATTTGCTTGATAGCCAAGTAAAATATAATCAAAGTAATTCACAAGAATAAAAGAGTAATTGATGCAGAAATTATTGTTTGAATTGATAATGACTCCAAGTTCTTGATTTCGTTGAGACTTGACAGCAGAATATTCTGATATGCTTCCAACACCAGTCTGATATAAACTCCAAATGTTAGGATCTTCCAGACCCACCCAACAAATTTGAGGGTTTTCTCTTTGCAGTCTCTAGGATCATCGTCATCGATAGTTCTCGGTAACAAGCTCCACAATCAGTGGAATATTATCAACATCAGCAGTGTTCAAATGATGCCGAAATTGTTGTTGAATGAACTGCCTGACTCCATTCCCATGTCTCCTAGTCCAATATTGGTTTGGTTTTGCTTGAGCCAGTCCAGAGGTACCTTTGACACTACATTGTTCTGTATTGGCAGAAAATTCATGTTAAATGAGAACATCTGGTTGCCTGAAATGTACCCGACTACATCAGCTGGAAGAGATGTCTGAGTCAATAACAGAAGCATCAGAAGCTGCATTTGATTAGCCATTGACCAGATCGCCATGGGTGAAGATGAATTTAGAAGAGACATCAGAGTGGCAATAAGAGAGCCAGCTCCTGCTGCAGCTTGAGATCCACTTGAAAGAGTTTGGACTTCTTCAGCAACTACAGTATATCTTCACTGTTTATTATCAACTAGTTGGTATCCATCTTTACATGTTAGTCATTTTGATTTTGAATCCGATTCTCATTCTTTTCAACCATCAACACTTCATTTTGTGTCTCATTTACTTGAAGATGAAAGAGAGCCTCCAGTTCATTCCCATCCTGACTCAACTTTGCAGTTCTCGTCTCAGCCATCTCCACTTTGTGTATTTCCATCATCTCAATGCTCAGTCTGGTCCAAACTTGAAGGAAGCTTTCCATTGCCTCAAATAAGAGTTCATGTGTCTGGTTGAGATAGTGATCCTCCAGTTCATTGATAATCATCCTCAATGCTAGTACAGGTTGAGTCTCATCCATCACCACTAGAGGTGTTATTGTCGTCACAAGCCTCAACAGAGAGTTTAATTTCATCTCCACATTGTGGGTGTCAAGTATCTGAACTAGTTTCAGATCCTCCAGCTCAAATATATCCAATGTCTATTTGTCATGTACTGCTTCAGCCATCATTATTATCTGTGTTTCCATCATCTCAGGCTTCTACCCCTACCTTCTTGCTATCACCTCACTCCTCTTTTCAAGTATCTATTGTTGTAGAGGATCCCCCATTGCAATTAAATCCTGCCTCTACAGTTCAAGAGTTATTACAGCCGTCTCCACTGACTTTATTTCCATCATCACAATTTTCAGGACCACTTCTTATCCCATCACCTCATTCACCGAGGTAACAAGTGCTTTTACTTGTTAGAGATCCTCCGTAACAAGTATAGCCAGATTCAATAATGCAACCGATATTGCATCCATCATAATTCACTGTGTTTTGGTCATCTCATTCCTCAGAGGTAGTTTGTATTCCATCTCCTCACACTTCATTTCAAACAGTGGTTGTTGTTAGAGTCCCTCCAGATCAACTAAAGCCAATCTCTTGTGTACAAGTACTACTTCAGCCATCTCCATCTGCTGTATTTCCGTCATCTCAGTAGGTGGAAGGCTGAGTACCCACAATCTTGCCATCTCCACACAAATCTGTTCATTCACTCTGAGAAATACCTGTATTCCATTGACACTTATAGCCACTTTCTACTTTACAGTCTCCTCCTCAGCCATCTCCTGCTATATTGTTCTTATCATATCAGTCAGTTGTTTCATCTAGAGGTGCACTGGTAGAGTTCCATCCTCATTTTTCAGCACAAACAGTAGGACTGGCGCCATCTCAGACCCATCCTACTTCCAATTCTCAATTATCGCTTCATCCATCTCCGTTTATCCAATTGCCATCATCTCAACCTTCTGATGAGTGCTTGATCTTGTTTCCTCATGTTCTGTAAAATTCTAAAACTTGTAAGAGAATTTACCGTTGTGAGGGGCCAGAGAGAGATCATTGTCTTGAACTGGAGCAAGATCTGAATAAACTTTCATGCTATATTAAAGATCAGCTTAATCAGATGAAGAGCAAGGAAGAGTTTTAAGGCTACAAAAATCAAAGAATGCCTCATCTCATACTTATCCTGAACTCACTATTGATCACTTAAGTCATCATAGAAAGGATGTTTCTCTAATTTCTATTCTATAGTCTTACCTATAAATTCGGAAATCTCCTTCACTCTGTGCCAGATTAAAGAAGCCTAGGAACATGGTATCGGTCAGGTTCCATCCGCTTGGATTAATAGTAATGGTCGAACCTATTTTGGTCAGCATAGGATTTGAAGTGGACTTACTATCGAGGGTTGGAGTCGGTTCTTCTTCTACTCTTATCATTGAATGGACAGTGATCTGGTTCCATCCAAAGCCAAACATGTGCCATTCTTCCTCTAAAGTTCATTAACTTCTCCTTCCATACTTTTAAACACTTACCTTCAAACCTATCATCCAAAATAGCAGAATCTCTGTTCACTCCAAATCCGATGTTCCCTTTGCCACCTGTTCTAAAAACAGACAATTCAATCTCTCCGATACTGTTATTGGGGAACTATAGAGTTAGACAGTTGCTTGCTTTGTTCCGAACTCGTAGGAATGTAGTATTGTCAAACCTGTCTTTGGTTGTGAAAGTCCAGATACTTATCGCAAATGAATCTGTGCCACTCTCAAAATGTCCTGAAAACTCAAGATAGCTAAAATCTAAATCATTCGAAATTACTCATTCTTCGATTTTCTGAACTCAAGATAATCAGTCTCAATATTAGGTTGATTATTAGTAGCCGCTATACATTATAAACCACCTTACTTGGCCAATTCAGAACCGGTTGTGAAGACATCCCTTCATTACTCTCTATAGGAGTTCCGACTACGAGTGGATCAGGAGAGGACTGGAATTTGTAGGAGGCCATCAGGCTTCAGTGGGACAGAGGATAGAGCAGGATGAAGAGTAAGAGCTATATGTAGTGAGGGAAGGAATTGGAAGAAAGCTCAAGAATGGAGGAAATGGATTTTGAGTGTGAGTTAAAAAAATTGAATTTATATTAGTAGTAGGTAGCAAAGGTATCAGAATAGAACAAAATTCTCTTTTTTATAAAATTTTATCGATACTCTCTCTTCCAACACCAAAAAAATAACTAAAAACCATAAAAACAAAGCACTATCTCCCCCTAACAACCCCATCTTCTCCATCTAAACCCATCTTACAACCACCATTTCCAAAAATTCCAAAAAATTATTATCTACCTCCAACCCTAATCCCCTATTTCGGGGTTTTGGGGTTTTGGGGTTTTGGGG